CTGGGCTACAATGGTGCCTGAAGGGATGGAAAGTGGGTTGAACTGTGTCCTCCAAAAAGATATGTTCGAGTCCTAACCCCTGGTACCCGTGAATGTGACCTTATTTGGAAATAGGGTTTTGCGAATGTCATCGAGCCAAGATGAGGTCATGCTGGATTAGAGCGGGTCCTATCCAATGACTGGAGTCTGTAAGAAGAGGGAAATCTGGACACAGACACACAGGGAGGAAGGCCATATGCTGAGGGTGGCAGAGATTGGGGTGATGCAGCTACAAGCCAAGGACTGCCCGCAGCCCCCAGAAGCCACGAGGGAGGCATGGAATACTTTCCCCCTCAAGCCCCCAGAATAAAACCAACCCTGCCAACACCTTGATTTCAGACTTCAGACCTTCAGCACCGTGAGAGAGCAAAGGTCTCTTGTGGGAAGGCACCCAGTCTGCGGTGATTTGTTATGACAGCTCTTAAAAACTAAGACAGAGAGGAAGATTCAGATTCAGGAGAGGCTGTAGAAGTAGAATTGACAGGATCCGGGACCAGTTAGACACGGGGGTTGAAGACTAGGAATGCAACCAGGACCATTCTCAGGACTGGAGCTCATGGAGTTTGACTATAAATAAGCTGCTTGCCACAGTGCTCGACGCCCTAAATTAGTGCTTGATGAACATGTTAGCTCAGTGATCAGCTATGGGGCTGTGACAGCCACTGTGCGACGCAGTCATTTGCATGGGAGCTCTACAGGGTAGACTGGGGGAAGAGGAAGGCAGTATGCCCAGCGCTGCCAGGAGGGGCCAGTTGGCTCAGAATTGTCAGAGTGGAAAATCTGCTGCTCCCGGGTCCCTGATCGCAGGGGCCGGGGGAGGGCTGTAGGCGCTGTGGTTGCAGTGCAGTGCGGCGGGCTTTGTCTTTCTAGCACTCATCACTCACCGATTCGTGAGAGTGTAAGTTTGGCTCTTATTGTCTGTCGTCTCCCCCACTGAAAGGCAAGCTTGCTGAGGGCAGGAGCTTTGCTTTGCTCCTTGTCTCATCCTTGGCACGTAGAAAGGGTCTTCTACTTAGTGGGTGTTCAATAAACATTTATTAGATGAACAAAGGGCAGGGAACGTGCATAAAGGAAAGGGGGAGCTGGGATCTCTGCTCCCAGATTCTGGGACAGTGCTGTTGTTGCCAGGGAGGCGGCAGGAGCCCAGGGAGGGCGTGGCTACGTGACACCTGCATGATCCTGGTGCAGCACAGGGCAGGGAGGGAGCCACCAGAGCCGAGGCCACATAAGTCAAGGTGATGGTCAACTCTCAGCAGTGACCTCAATAGACTGGCCGCACAAGAACCGTGCATGGGCATTTTGCCACAACCCTGCAGAACAGGGGGTGAGGCCCTCCATAGACTCAGGGGAACATTTCCTGCAGTCTGCAGAATGTGTGGCTCAAAATGGCACTTAGGTAGAGCAATAGTAATACGTGTCATGCCCGAGTGCTGGGCTCAGCTTCATTCCAGGTACTTCTCTTTGTTTTTGCTGTGCACATAGGCCTGTATGCCTTCTGTTAAAAGCAGTTAGAGGGCAAGGTAGGGGCCATGTGGTTATATGGGAAGCAGATGAAGAATTTGGGACTAGTGGTTTCTTCAGGGGCCAGGCAGAGGTGTCCAAAGGTATTTTGAACATATCAGAAACAGTTCTTGCATGGCATTTGGAATGGTTTCTTCCCACTCCTTAAGTTAATGATAAGGCCCTCCCAGGCTTTGGCTCTAACCTTTCTAATATGCTCATTTACATACACTATGTTGCAGCCAAACCGGTTCTTGCCCTTCCTTAACATGTCCCATGAGCCAATTATTACTCTAATATCAACACCATTGACAATGGCTAATTACATTGGAAGTTTATCTGTTCAGAAAATCCAGTTAGGCCAGAGCCTCTTCTTGCAAACCTTTCTTAGTAATGAGATTCACTCACTATCTGGATTTGGAAGTAATTAACCTACATTCCTTTAAAATATATGTTAAAACTCACATTTTCATTTTCAGGAGCAGAGCAATTAGCTTAGGTCAATGAAATAGCATTGAGGTTGGAATCATATCTGAGTGCTCACAATGCCTAAGTCCAATTATTTTTTGGTTGTCATGATTTTCTCCTCTTCGTGAATGTATAATAATGCAAAAGAGCAAAGATAAGCTCTGTACAAGTTGGACCCATGCCAAGTTACCTGAAGGGAAGGAATTCTCAGATCAGACTTTGAATAACATCATTTTACCAATATTATCTACCCATTGAATTGTTACCATAGAGTCTACCTACTCTGGAAAAGTCCTTGCCAACCAGGTGGTAAATGAATGATTTATCACCTGGTGGGAAGTCGCAGGCAGCCTTGTTCTGCACCTTTCAAAGGCTGGGAGGGGCATGGCTGGAAGAACCTCCCAGTCCCAGCAGTGGTGCTGAAGACCCAGCGTGGTGGAGAATTTCTCATCCCCCTGCCCTGGAAACTTGTCCTGGAACAGGCTCGGCTGTTGGTCCAATATAGTTCTAACTAAGAAGGCCATGGGCTTATTTTTTTAACTATTTTTTTAAAACTATTAATTTATTTGATTAGGTCTCTCACACACACAGCATACAAAATTCACAAGGTATGCAGTGAAAGAGTATATAGTGACAAATAAGTGTCCCTCCCACCGTCCCACCCTGCCACTGAGTCCCCTTCACCAGAGGCAACACAGTTATCAGCGAGTTTATTTTAGTTTTGAAGAGAATTAGGGAACACAGACCTAAAATGGAATTAGGGAAGCTATTTAATGTCGTAGACGGTGCTGAGAGCCTGGAGTCAGGCAGACTCTGTTCCAATGGAGCTCCAGCACTTCTGACGTAGGGCCTGGATAACAACAGATTTACCGCACAGGTTGTGGAGATAACGAAATGAGCTAACCCCATCCCCGACCCATATTTATAGGCGATGCGTGTGAGCTGTTATTAGCCATCGGGCAATCGAGTGCTGTGGGGGAAGGTGGGAGGGGAGGGCGAGGCATGTTGAATACTTTCTCAGGAACGTCCTGAGCCCTGTGTGGTCACTGAAAATCCCTGGGAGTTTGTTGGAAATGCAGGATCTCAGGGGCTCTGGGTGAGAAGCTGCACTTTGACAAGCTCCAAAGGAGAAGGACTACCCAGTACAATCACAGAACCCTCGAGGGCTGGGCCGGAGCATCCCGGCCTCTGGGCAGAGGAGGATGCTGCTACTTCACCTTCAGACGTGAGCCTTTAGGTTGCACATGATGGAAACTCGTGACAACAATCTATCTCCACCACCTCCCCGCTTTCTGTTCTACATGGGGTATCCCAAGCCCAATAACCTGTGACCCCAAAGATGGCTGGAATGTGTCCTGTTTTGTCCTGCAGCTCGACAGTAACCCGATAGATGGCCTGGGGGAGGGGGTGGCATGTTGTTTTTAAAGTGATATCAGAGACACAGTGGAGACCGTCCAGCAAGCGGCAGGGCTGCCAGGGTGCCAACTGGGACACTAGCGCCCTGGCAGGGGGGGGTCTGCCGCAGCTCGGGCTGCTCACTGGAAATAAGGTCTGCAAGGGTTGAGGGCTGGGAGGCCAGAGGGGCTCTTGGGTGACCGGTGCTGCTGTTTGCTACTTGCTCCAAACCAGGCGAGCATGGCTAGAAACATATGACACACAGGAAGCAGCTCTTTCCTGTGGAATATGAATAGCATTACATACTTCAGGGGGGCATACATGTCATCAGACACTGTCCAAACCCACAGACTGTGCAGCACCATCAGTGAGCCCTAGTGTGCACCATGGACTTTGGGTGATAACTCTGCGTCGGTGCAGGGTCACGGACTGTAACAAATGTCCCACTCTGGCGGGGCGGAGACAGTGCGGGAGGCTGTGCCTGTGTTGGGGCTGAAGGTACATGGGACATCTCTGTAGCTTCTGCTCAATTTTGCCGTGAACCTAAAACTGCTCTAAAAAATAAAGTCTATTCAAAAAAAGAGAAAGAATTATAAGTTTGTCGTTGGATAAGCTGTAAAAGAGAAACGAAAATCAACATTGAGGTCTGGGGCAATATGCTGTTTCAAAATGACAATGACAACAGCAATAACTAGAGCGGGACTGTCTAACCCGGGAGCCTCTAGCCATACTCAGTGAGCACTTGAAATGTGCCCAGTGGGATGGAGGAAATGAGTCTTTGGTTTTATTTCATTTTAATTAATATATTAATTGATTGATTAAATTAATTAAAAATGTATGTGTTTTGAGGTATCTGTCATTTGAACAGGCAACTTTTTTTTTTTTTTTAAGGTGGCAGTTACATCATAGTGAACAGGCAACTTTTTATTTAGCCGTTTACCCATAAATTTTTTCTTAGAGAAATAATTCTACAACACACGTTATGTTACATGTCTCCCTGGACCCTCGTGCAAGTTTTTCTCAAGAGGAGATACTGAGAAGTGAAACTGCTACATCATGGGAAATGCCCTTTTTAAACATTTAAAGCATTTTGCCAAATCACATTCTTGCTGGCCGTGTCCCCATTTCCCCATAATCTCAACTTGATATTATCATCCTTTTGATTTTTTTGTCTATCTGATCAGTGAAAGATGTTATGTTTTTAAAATTTTTTATTTTCCTAATTACACATATGTTTATCTTATTTTACTTTTTCTTTTTTGAGACAGAGTCTCACTTTGTTGCCCAGGCTAGAGTGAGTGCCGTGGCGTCAGCCTAGCTCACAGCAACCTTAAACTCCTGGACTCAAGCGATCCTACTGTCTGAGCCTCCCGAGTAGCTGGGACTACAGGCATGTACCACCATGCCTGGCTAATTTTTTGCATATATATATATATAGTTGGTCAATTAATTTCTTTCTATTTTTAGTAGAGACAGGGTCTCGCTCTTGCTCAGGCTGGTTTCAAACTCCTGACCTTGAGTGATCCTCCGGTCTCCCAAAGTGCTGAGATAACAGGCGTGAGCCACCACGCCCGACCATGCATATGTTTATTGACGATTTGTATTTTTATTCACCTTTTAAAAAAATCAGTTAGGGGTATTTTCTTATCTATTGGTTTTTTAAATCTACTTTGGACATTAATCTTTGTCTATTACATATGTTCTACACAAAATGTATCACTTTAATTTATTTGTGGTTATTTTGTTATATAGAAACATTTTAATTTGATATAGTTAAAAATACTACTTTTTATTTGTTTTTTGTCCCCCCAAAATCTTCTATCTCTTAAGGTCATAAAAATAGTTTCTAATATTTTTTTCAGTCACTTATTGAAGTTTTTTAAATATTTAACTCAGAGAACCATCAGATTTTATTTGGGGTCCATTGTAAGGTACTGATATTTTTTCCATATGATGGCTAATTGGGTCAGCCTTGAAGATTTTGTTTCTTCTCTGTTAATTGAAAGGCTATTTCTATCACAAACCAAATTCTAATAGTGGATTCTGTACTCTTTGTTCAGTTTGGTTTGTCTATTTGTCTATTTGGGGCTACTCCCACACTGTGTCGATTACCACAGCACTACCAACTGGATACATGGTTGGTTAGTTCAATGTTTTTTCCATCTCCTTTCAGAGATGCAAGTTCATCTTCAGTCACAGCACAAGGAGACCCGCGCAGCGTGTCTCTGGCACTCCGCTTCAACCCAGGGCAGTGCTGAGAACTTGTCGCGGGTTCTAAAACCCACCCCACAGCCCGGTGACCCTCGTCTCACCAGCCTCCCTGCTGCCACCCACATCCCCGTCACTGCACTAATCCTCAAAATAAAATGCAGCTGTAACCGGCACACCTGTTTCGGATCCATTACAATAAATCAGAATCTATGTTTATTTCAGTTACAGGAGCAGGTGAAGGACGGGCTGCATTTCTGGCAAAGCAACTAGAAAGCAGAAGACAATTCAAACCGTGAGTTCTTTTCTCCTCTTAGGGCAAGGGGGTTACACTTGAGGAACCCTAAACTTCCCGTTGTTTCTGAACTTCTGTGATTCTTTACGCAAAAGCCTCAAATTGCAGTATTCACTCTAGGTCTGGAATTAAGCCTAGGGTTTCCAGACTTTCATGCTCGTGAGAATCACTCAGAGAACTTATTAAAAATGCAGGCTCAGGCCAGGCAGGGTGGCTCATGCCTGTCATCCTAGCACTTTGGGAGGCCAAAGTGGGAAGATTGTTTAAGGCCAGGAGCTAGAGACCAGCCCGAGCAAGAACCAGCCCTGTTTCTACAAATAATAGAAAAATTAGTTGGGCGTGGTGGCGTGCGTCTGCAGTCCCAGCTACTTGGGAGGTTGAGGCAGGAGGATCGCTTTGAGCCCAGGGGTTTAAAGTTGCAGGGAGCTAGGCTGACACCACTGCACTCTAGCCCAGGACACAGACCAAGACCCTGCCTTAAAAAAAAAAGCAGTGCAGATTCAACAAGTCTGGGGTAAAACTTAAAGACCTGTATTCTTTAAACATCCATCTCATCAGCTGATCCCAATGCAAATAATCCAGGCCCTTACCTTGAGACGCTGCCTGAGGACTCGGAGCAGACTAGGACCACCTGAACAGGAGACATCAGGGACCCAGGTGCTGTCTCTTTGCCATAACACGTTTCTGTTATGGGTTAGCTCCATGAGATCGGTCTATAGGGAAATGAAGTCAGTACAACAGATGCTGCGTTGGTCCATACGCAATTGGCACTTGGCAAAGGGAGCCTGAATAGTTGGAATACATTATAGACAATTGAACAGAAAAGGAAAAAGCCTTTAACTCGGCTTTTGCATTGGCAGCAGGGGCCTTTGCAAGTTGTATTTTATTATTACCAGAATTTAAAATGGAGCCTGCCGCCAGCAGAGTTCTCTCCTAAGCAGCACACCCCAGGCCTATGTCTGAGGGCAGGTCGCGAGTGCACTAGGGCAGAAACATCTCCTGCGTGCAGAACACCTATTGTCTCTGTTTGAAAAGTAGTGCAGAATGACCTGGTGCTTTGGTTCTTGGCTAAGATTGTGTGATATCTGGGGCCAGGGCTCCAGAATTCCAGAGAAAGAACTTCACGATGTATACAACCTTTAGCTCTCTGCAGCCCTGCTCAGTGCAGAGTGGGGGCGACTTGGGAGCCCCCCAGATCGACCCCTGTATTCATGGTATTCACCTCTGTGTGGGCTCTAGGACTCCCACCCAAGGCTGAGCCTCAGAGCTACCTGGAGTCAGGTGGAATTTCAGTAAGTGATGTGCCTGAACTTACCTACCCTAGAACTACTGAAATCAGGCCTTCCTGGGTGGGGCTCGGACATCTGTATACTGTCATCACGCCATATCTGTGGGTTCCATGGATTCAACCAACCAAAGATCCAAAATATTTGGAAAAAAATTACATCTGTACTGAACATGCATAGGCTTTTTTTCTTGTTATTCTCTAAACAACATGGTGCAACGACTATCTACACAGCATTTACCCTGTTATAGGTTATTATAGAACCTAGGATGATCTACAGAAGAAGTTAAATATGCCAGAATATATTACCATTTTATATCGGGACTTGGGCACTCTCTGATTTGGACAGAGGAGGATTCCTGTGGCAATCAACCAGCGTGATCTTTTTTTTGTTTGTTTTAATGTTTGAGACAGAGGTCTCGCTTTTGTGCCCAGGCTAGAGTGAAGTGCCGTGGCATCACCTACCTCACAAGCAATCAATCTCCGGGCTAAGCGATCACAGCCTCAGCCTCCCGTACTGGACTAAGCATCGCGCCACCGATGCCCAGCCTCAATTTGTATATGTATTTTTAGTTGGTTCTATTCTTTCTATTTTTAGTAGAGATGGGGGGCTCAACTCAGGCCGGTCTTCGATCCTGACTTCCAAGCAATCCGCTCAGCAGAGTGCCTAGGATTACAGGCGTGACCACCGCGCCGCGCGTTCCTCACAATGGATCTGAGGGAAGACTCTATTTGTTCGGCACCACACGTGGTTATGAAGCAAGCTAGGGCTCTCAACCCTTGGAGGTGTAGAGAATGACCTGGGAGCTTTTAAAACTCTCAGGCCCCACACTCCAGACCAAATGGCAGGACTCAGGCAGCTGAATGTTTTAAATCTCTCTTAGGAATCTGATTTAAAATGCAGATTTTGATTCAGTAGGTCTGGAACAGGCCATGAGAGTCTGCGCTTCTAACAAGCTGGTCCAGAGACTCCAAGGTGAGTCCCAAGGCTGCAGGTCCTAATAACTTTTTGTTGATTATTTAACACTGAGTTCAATTACTGCAGCAAGCAGGGACATGAAACTGCAGATCCAGGACAGTTGATGGCAGAAGTTTGGCAGAAGTGGCACAGCAGGCTTTGTGATTTAAAACAAAGCAAATGTTTGTGTTCCTCCCTGGGCCAGCCAAGGAGTGGTGTGTTGACAAGAGGCATGACGGCCACGTGCTGAGAGATGAACAGTTATAAACCTCTGCCCCTTCCTGTCGTCAGCAGAGATCTGGCTTATCAGGCCTCTTGAGTCATTGTTTTGACAATTGTTATTTTGCACGGAGGCATTTTATTATGCAAATGAATTCAAAATCTCAGGTTGTTCTGTCCCAGATATGAAAGCTGTATTGCAAAAAGGTTTAGATTGGCTGCTTATATTTTCTCATGCCCTAAAAAAAATTGGCTAGAGTCCTGCTGTGTGCCCTGCCTGTTACTGGATGGCTATGCAGATGTCCAAGCTGCTGCATGCCCTGTTTTTGCACCACCTGCGTAGCTGAACCTGGATTGATATGAAGTTCATGCTCTATCAGCTCAAATCTGCTTAGCACAGAAGAGGTAAATCTTCTGCTGTGTTACTTAAACACAACTGGGAATTAGTAGGCTACGGTGGCAGTTGGTCACCTTCGAGGCATGTTCAACCTCAAAGTGTAAATACATCATTTAGTAGGAATTGCTAGACTTGGATGTCAAGGTCTTTGTCTCTATGTCTCTCTCAACTTTTGGCTTGCTAAATCAGTCAATCCTCAGATCGTGGGCAAATCTAGGAACAATGGCACCTCTTGCCAATGGCACAAAGAATTGCCCCTTCTTTCCAAGTAGCACAAAATAGTCCTATTGATTATCTGCCTCATAGAAACTGAAACACCGATGGTTTCTTTGACCTTTAGTTCAACTGGGCTTGCTCATCTGTTCCGTCCACAGGCTCATCGTGCACCTCTTTCCTAGTTATGCTCCCAGTTCTTGGCTGTGAGATTGATGTTGTCTTGGCCACTAGTAAAATCCCTGGCAGAAAAGTGGCCATAGCTTTTCTCTGACCTCAAAGAGTGGATCAGGCTCTGGCATTTTTATTGAGCACTTACTGGGAGCCTGGCAATACACTAAGGGTATCTAAAAAAAAAAAAAAAAAAGGTATAAAACTGTACCTTCTCAATAAACGGTGCTGGAAATATTGAACACCCATAGGCAAAAATAAATAAATAAATAAAAAATAACCACAACATAAACCTCATACCTTCTACAAAAAGCAACTCAAATTGGAGTGTAGATTTCAATGTAAAACATAAAGCTATAAAACTTACAGAAAAAAACAGGAAAACAGGGGAGCCAGAGCCAACCAAAAATCTTAGACTGACCCAAAGCAGGGACCCCCAACAAGAAAAAGGGGGTAATACGTCAACAAAAAAAACATTTTCCGTGAAAGGCCCAGGAAGGATGAGAAAACAGATAAACACAGAGCAGGAGAAACATACTTGCAAACCAACAAGGGAATAGGATCCAGAATATATATGGAACTCTCAAAACTCAACCATAAAATAAAAATTCAATTAGAAAATAAACTTAACAGACATTTCACCAAAGAAAATATATAGTTGGTAAATAACCACATAAAAATGCTCCATTAAAAAGCACAATGATATATCACTACATATATATCAGAATGGCTAGAACAAAAAATAGTGACAATACCAAATGCTAGCAAGGATGTGGAGAAACTGGATCACTCATACATTGTTGATGAGAGTATAAATTGGTTCAGCCCCTCTGGAAAACAGCTGGGCAGTTTCTTTCTTTACAAACTAAATATGCAACTGTCATATGATCCAACAATTGCACTCCTGGGCATCAGTCCCAGAGAAATGAAGACTTATGTTCACACAAAAATCTATACATAAATGTTTCATTTATAAGAGCAAAAAACTGGAATCAGTCCAAATGTCCTTCAACCAGTGAAAGATTAAACAAACTTCAGTAGACATATACCATGGAATACTACTCAGCAATAAGAAGAAAATGAACTTTTGATATACACAACTGAGATGAATCTCCAGGAATTATGATCAGTGAAAACAAAAATCCCCAAAGTCATATACTGCATGATTCCATTTGTATAACCTTTTGAAATGACAAAATTTTAGAATTGGAGAAGAGATTTGTGGTTGCCAGCGGGTAGAGAAAGGGGAGGGTAGAAGGAAGGTATGTGCAGTTATTAAAGGCAACACAACGGATCTTTATGATAATGGAGATGTTTAATGTTTTGACTCTGGTGGTGGATACCGGAAACTATTAAGGTAATAAATTTCTATAGATCTTAATTCAGACAAATACAAGTAAGACTGGGGAGGTCTGAAAAAGATCAGTAGATTGTATCCTTGTCTGTATCCTGGTTGTGTTATCATGCTACAGTTAGCAAACTGTTACCTTTGGGAGAACCTGGGCGAAATGTATGGCCATTTCTCTGTGTTATTTCTTACAACTGCATGTGAATGTGTAATTATCTTAACAAAAATTTCAATTTAAAAAAAGGTATAAAACCATTTGAAGCCAGCCTTCACAAAAGTCTTCAATATGGGGAGAAAAGACATACATATCAAGAAGGTAAATAAAATAAAAATGGTAATAAAACTGATACTAAATGTTAACTGCATAACAGGCACTGTGCTGAGCCTTTTCCATGAAAAACTTTAATCC